CACGCCGGCAGTTTTTTCATTTTTATTTATTTTGTGTGGGCGTGTGTTGGCCGGAGTGTGTGTAAGCACACCCGTTAGGGCAATGCCTGTAGAGGTCAGAAGAGGGCGTCGGATTCCCTGGAACTGGAGTTACAGACGATTGTTAGCGACATGGGTGCTGGGAATCGAACCTGGTCCTCTGCGAGAGCAGTCGGTGCTCTTAACCGCTGAGCCATCTCTCCAGCCCTTGAGAATCACATTTGTGTTTTTTGTTTAGTGAGATGGGTTCACTTTGTAGCCCAGGCTATCTTTGAATTGGTGATATCCTCCTGTCTTAGTCTCCCGGGTGCTCCTGGGACTACAGGCACACACCATCACACCTGGGGTGCGGGGGAGAAGGGCATTTATGGAGATCAGTGTGGAATAGCTGTGTGCTATTCCAGTCTACACCTCTCCACTTTATCCCAGGGGGATCCCACCTCTCTTTTGTGTCCCGACCCCAGTAAACACATACTTCATCTTTAGAAGAGTTAGTGAAATAAAGCCCTGCCAAGTTTTGATCTGGTGGCAGAACCAAATAGACAATGTAATGCCACCATGCCTGGCTTGGGAAAGCAGTATTGGTGCCATGGTTCAAGTGTGACTTTGGCCATGCACAGACATGTGGGCTCCTCAGGGACCATCTGCTGCTTTTGGATGTGTGACCTTCCGTGAGTTCCTTTCGCTCTGAGCCTCAGTTTCCTTCTCAGTGAAATGGAAGACATCACTGCTATCTCGGGATTGTTACGAGGATGGTTTGGGATCTGGGGCATGAAATGTTTAGCCCAGTACCTGCTAAATGGGAAGCTCTGAAATAAGTTGTGAGGCCTCTGCCCTGTCTCTGGCCCAGCCCCTCCTATGTAGCAAGGCCCAAGAATCTATAGCTTCTGCCACAACTCCTCACAGCCCTAGGGCTCTGCTGCACCACCTGACCCTCTGTCTCCCCAGACAGCACCCAAGAAAACCTCATTTGGCTCACTAAAGGATGAAGACCGGATCTTCACCAACCTCTACGGCCGCCATGACTGGAGGTGAGATAGGGCCCTTAGCTTGCCGGTTCCCTTAGTAGGGCCCTGCCTCACATCCCTCTCCACTCACCCCAGGCTGAAAGGGGCCCAGAGTCGAGGTGACTGGTACAAGACAAAGGAGATCCTGCTGAAGGGGCCTGACTGGATCCTGGGTGAGATGAAGACGTCAGGCTTGCGGGGCCGTGGGGGTGCTGGCTTCCCCACTGGTCTCAAGTGGAGCTTCATGAATAAGCCCTCGGATGGCAGGTGTGTGGTGGTAGTCCAAGATATGATTGCAGGAGAGACCACGGACAAGGCTGGGGGTGGCTGAAACCCTGGGCCTTGGGGCTAACTCCATAGAAGCTGTAGTGTGAGTGCGCCAGGAAACTTGCCAGGCCATAAGTGGATGCACAGGAGTTTTCCCTCGGCTAGAAAGGTGGCTCTGTGGTTAAGAACACTTGGTGCTCTTGCAGAGGACCCAAGTTAGTTCCCAGCACCCATAAGGTGGCTTATACGTCTTCTGGCCTCTGCAGGCACCAGGCATGCATATGGTGTACATAGGTGCATTCAAGCGAGCATTAACATCCATAAAATTAAACCTTTTTTTTTTTTGTCTTTTTGAGACAGGGTCTCCCTGTAGCCTCACCTGTCCTGGAACTCACTATGTAGACCAGGCTGGCCTTGAACTCACAGAGATCTGCCTGCCTCTGCCTTCCAAGTGCTGGGCTTAAAGGCATGCGCCACCATGTCCAGCAAAAAAAAAAAAAAAAAAAATCTTAAGAGAGTTCTCTTTGGAGTTCCTCAGCGGAGACTCAGGATGTTACAGTCAATACAAGATTTTGATTTTCAAGCAGTCCTAATTATTCAAACTCCAACTTTGCCTTTTTTTGAACAGGAGAGATGTTGGGATTGAGATGTTGGTATTGTGGTCGTACCTGTCCAAAGGTAGACTAGGTAGTGAGTTCCCTCTCATTGGTGGTGAGCAAGCAGAGCCCTGGGGGATGTAGGAAGGGCAGAGAGGATCAGCTGTCTTTGAGGTCTCCCTGGGTGGAAGAGGAATGGTATATGGGTGAGGGCTGGGTCCTGGTGGGTCTGTAACCTGACTGACACACAGGCCCCCATAGGCCCAAGTATCTGGTGGTGAACGCTGACGAGGGGGAGCCTGGCACATGTAAGGACCGCGAGATCATGCGCCATGATCCTCACAAGCTGGTGGAGGGCTGCCTGGTGGGAGGCCGGGCCATGGGTGCCCGAGCTGCCTATATCTATATCCGCGGGGAATTCTACAACGAGGCTTCCAATCTGCAGGTGGGCACACAGAGCATCTGCTGATGGTGCGCTCATACCTTGCATGCTCCCTTCCCCAGCATGGCCATTCCTAGATCAGTCTCTGGGGTCCAGCTGGGAGGGTGGTTTCCACTCCTGCATACATCAAGAACTGGCTCTGGCCCTGGAGTAAGCTTAGGAAGCCTTCCAAGATTCCGTGGCCTGCGGAATTGGAAGCTGACTTGTAGGGTGCGGTGGGCTGGGAAAGTCACACCTTGTCCCACAGGTAGCCATCCGAGAGGCCTATGAAGCAGGTCTGATTGGCAAGAATGCCTGTGGCTCTGGCTATGATTTTGATGTGTTCGTGGTGCGTGGGGCTGGGGCCTACATCTGTGGAGAGGAAACAGCACTCATTGAGTCCATTGAGGGCAAGCAGGGCAAGCCACGTCTGAAGCCGCCCTTCCCTGCAGATGTGGGTAAGGCCCTGCCTCTCCTGGCCCTCGCCTTGGCTCTGTCCTGGATCTGACCAGGTGCCCTCTGGCTGGGTTTCACAGTATTTCTCAGTGCCTTTTGGGAGGAAAGGAAGACTGAGAGAAGAGGGTGGTAACAGCACAGGCTCCCCCAGTGCCGCCTGCAGTCCCTCAGCCTGCCTCAGCTGACATCAGACACCCAGCCCCTCCAGGCAGTGTGCTCTTCTTTCACAACACCTGCTCAGGGAGGTGTGAACAGGAGCTAGGGCTTCCCTGGAGTCTGGGTCCAGTGTGGGTCAAGGAGACAAGAGTAGGAGCTGCCTGCCACAGGAGCAAGACACAGAATACCCCTCTGCCAGGAAACACACCCCTTCTCCCTGGCAGCCACCAGTCCCTTCTGTTTCCTTGAAGGAGTGTTTGGATGCCCCACAACCGTGGCCAATGTGGAGACAGTGGCTGTGTCCCCCACCATCTGCCGCCGAGGGGGCACCTGGTTTGCTAGCTTCGGTCGAGAACGCAACTCAGGTACCAAACTGTTCAACATCTCTGGCCATGTCAACTACCCCTGCACTGTGGAGGAGGAGATGTCTGTGCCACTGAAGGAGCTGATTGAGAGACATGCAGGTGAGGCCAGGGGTCAGCAGAGCAGGGGAGAGCAGGGTGACTTGAGAGGGTGGGTGGGAGGGCCTCAGGAACTGGGCTGGGTCTGGGGGCTAATAGTGGTCCTGACTTAAGTCTGGGCAGGTGGGCCAGCCTCAGCCATGACAGTCTTTTTGGGGACCGACTTGGGTCCCAGGTGGTGTCACAGGTGGCTGGGACAACCTCCTTGCTGTGATCCCTGGCGGCTCATCCACGCCATTGATCCCCAAGTCTGTGTGTGAGACAGTGCTGATGGACTTTGACGCACTGGTGCAGGCGCAGACAGGCCTGGGCACAGCCGCAGTGATCGTCATGGACCGCTCGGTAAGGGGTTCTCATGACCCCCCCCCATCCTCATGCCAGCCTGGGCCTCTGACCAGCTCCCATTTCCTATAGCCTGAGATCACTGTGCAGTGAGAGAGTCTGGGCGGGGCAGGGACCCAGGGAGGGAAGAGGCCACAAACACTGGCACCCCGGTCAGGTGTTGCTGGGAGGCTGAGGTACCCGCTCACTGCCCCTGTCTCCTAGACGGACATTGTGAAAGCCATCGCCCGTCTCATTGAGTTCTATAAGCACGAGAGCTGTGGCCAGTGCACCCCATGCCGCGAGGGTGAGCTTCCTGGATAGGTTGGGGTTTAGTTGCTGGGCTGCTCTTAACTTCTACCCCCATGAGGCTTGCACCCCTTGAATGCTGCCCCTGGTGGGAGACCCTTAGGCCCCTCTTGCTGCTCTGGCTGCAGGTGTGGACTGGATGAACAAGGTGATGGCCCGCTTTGTGAAGGGGGACGCCCGGCCTGCAGAGATCGACTCCCTATGGGAGATCAGCAAGCAGATTGAGGGCCACACCATCTGCGCTCTGGGTGACGGGGCCGCCTGGCCCGTGCAGGTACTCACTGCCCTGCTGTGTGACACGAAGATGGGTGATACAGCCCAGAGCCTTGGGAATTTTTGGACCCTGTTTCACACAGTGCCGCCTTCTCCTTCCCAGGGTCTGATCCGACACTTCCGACCAGAGCTGGAGGATCGGATGCAGCGGTTTGCCCAGCAGCACCGGGCTGGGCAGGCGGCCTCCTGAGCCCTGCATCCTGGCCCACTGCTTCTCTTGGAGAAGCTGGACAATAAAGCCACTTTCCAAACAGCCGCCTGTGGCTTTGTGCTTCGTCTGCCCCCACTGCCCCCTCCTCATGGAGGCCTTTTCTTTTATCATTGTGGGAAGCAGGATCGGGTGGGGTAGTGAGGACTAGGCCTGGCCCAGTGTTTTTTTCTGCTGCTAAGGAATCAAGCCCAGGACTCTGGGCATGCTGCCACTGAGAGACATCCCCAGCCCTTGAGCCTGGCCCAGTGCTGGCCTCCAGTGGGTGGGAGATAGTGGAATAGGGACCTGTCTGCCCTGTGACATAAAGGTATGGAGCAGGTTGGCGTGGCCAGAGAAGGGACAGGTTGACAGAAGCAGATGTTTATTTTGCCTTGTGATTTGGGGCGGGATGACTGCAAAGTGGAGGCAGGAATGGGTGCAGCAGATGGGGCAACCTGGGGCCCATTCCAGATTAGCCAACATCTTGGCTGCTGGGATAGGGCCGCCAGCAGGGGCCTACACCGCCTAGTTGCTCAGCTGGGGAGGCACACCGTACAGCGGGTGCCACAGCTCCAGTCTGCAGTCACTGCAGCCCAGGCACTCGCGCCAGTAGTACAGGTGCTCCCTGCTGGCCCTGCCACTCAGCTGCACCCCACCTGCCTGGGAGATGGGTCAGTAGCTAGCAGAGGCCCTAAGGTTCCCCCTCACACCTTGTGTTCCTGTTCACCAATGAAGTCATCAGCTGTGCCCAGGTCATAGTCCCACAGGGACACCAGCAGTGCCTTCTGGGCCAGCTCCTCCCGACGGCCTGCATAGAAGAATTCCTGCAGGGAAAGGCAAGCAAGAGGCAGATCCTTACAGCTCGGGAACAGCTCAGGCCCAGGTTTTGTTAAATCAGGACCAGGTTTGACTGCAACCTGCCCAGCCCAGACCCACCTCATTGAACTCTGGGTTCAGGGTCTTCCTTCGAACACTGGTCTTCTATTTGGACTTCTTCCCAGAGCTTGGATGCAGGAAACTGGAGGGGGAGATGGGCCAACGGTTAGGGGTAACCTTGGAGAGCCAAGGATCCTCTCCCTCTCTCTCCTTCCTCATCAGCCACCATTTCTACTCACGGGTGGACAAAGGGATCTGAGTAGGCGTTGGCGTCCACGGGGGCCAGGTGGGCACAGCGCAGCACACCCACCAGCAGACCACCTCGCTGGGAGCTGTAGCACAGGGACAGCAGGATGCGCCCACGCTCCTCCCCTGCCACCCCTACCTCCACTTCATCCTGAAGGGCAAGCTGTGGTCAGACTCCGTGCAGCCTGAACCCCCATCTGCAGGGTCCAGGACCCACAGGAGAGCACAAATGGCTGCAACAGAGCGAGACTTGTCAGTTTCCCCAAACGTGCCCAGACCCTGGAAGAGACCTCATAATAACCTACTCTCCAGGGCCCGGGAAGGGGAGGGGCTTGCTGCTCAGCATGTCTTTGTCATGGAGAGGAAAGGATCATGCATGGTCTCTTGAGTATCTTCAAGTGTCATGCTAGGGGATGCTTAAGTGGTCTTCAGCAAATGTCGCCACCACCCTGCAGGGGCAGCCTACCCCACAGAAGTACTTCCAGGAAGCTGTTCTCCCCTCAGAGACGGGTCTCTTCAACTCTAAAACCCACCTGCGTGCCTCTGCCTGGCTGACCAGGCTGTCAATGTCCTTTGCCACACTTTTGGACCATGGGGCCCGCCAGCTGGGAGGATGGCCGGGAAAAGTGAGCCGCCTCTGCTGCCACTGGAGTAGAAGTGACTTCAGAGATCTAAACTACCTGATCGCTGGCAGTTGTCAGCACCACAGGAGTGCTCCTCCAGCAGCCTCCCTGAACCAGGGTGCTACTGTGCGTAGCTGGGATCAAAATACCCAGAAAAGTTGTATCGAAAGTTACAACTGGGTATTCCGTGATGTGGACACCCTCAGTGGAGCCCACAGGCCTGGGCTCAACTAATCCAAAGCTGCAGCAGGTTGTCACTCCCGTAGGGTGGAGCATGCAGCAGAGGGGCAGGTGGAGGGCTGATCCCCAGCCTCGGGTGCCCTTCCCTTCTCAGCTCGCAGTTGGTCCCAGGTGGAACTGAGGAGGTGCTGAAGTCAGCACCTTTACGGCCTCCCGACAGACCTAGTGGAGCCCACAGGCCTGGGCTCAACTAATCCAAAGCTGCAGCAGGTTGTCACTCCCGTAGGGTGGAGCATGCAGCAGAGGGGCAGGTGGAGGGCTGATCCCCAGCCTCGGGTGCCCTTCCCTTCTCAGCTCGCAGTTGGTCCCAGGTGGAACTGAGGAGGTGCTGAAGTCAGCACCTTTACGGCCTCCCGACAGACCTAGTGGTGTCCTCTACACTAACCCCGGGGCAAGCAGCCTGAAAGCCTGTCCTTTCTCCCATCTGGCCACAAATAACCACCTTTCAGCCTCTGCCTCTACATCACCAGGTCTACCCACAGAATCTCCAAGGGTCCCAGGGTCCCCACCTCCAAGCTGCCCTGGCAAGGGAGTCAGCCTTGCCCTGCCCAGCCACTGGGGTCCTGGCAGTTTCCAAGGGCTTCAAGGGTTCATAGAGTTTACAAGAGAGAGAGCCTCAAATTCCTTCAAGACCCCAGGACCAGAGCCCATGTTCAGCTCACCTACATCCCTCCAACCTGTCCCCATCCCTGCTCAGTCAAGCTGTCCTTACCCACCTCCTCATATAGAGACATGCCACAGGCTGTATCCAGGCTCTTGGGCCTCTTGGTCTGAAAAAGAAGAGCACCTGGGCACCTCAGTGGATGTTTTCCAGGTCCATTGCCCTCATCACAAGACTCCTGGCCCTGCAGTCCTGTCATCATCCCGCCCCCCCCTCCCCGGCCCCGGGAGCTCCACGACCACTCACCAGCCTCTGCTTCTCCAGACAGACATCAAAGCTCCTGGCTCGGTTGGGTACCAGTTTCCTCAGGGGCACCGGCAGCTCCCCCAAGGAGGGTGCCCGACGCCGGCGCCGTAGTTGTGAGTCCTCACATACACATCATGGTCACCCAGGTCAGACCTGGTCATAAGGGCCCCATCCCCTAGCGCTGCCCCCTGGTGGCCTGAGCTGGGTCCTCTCCCTAAGGTCTTTCATCCAGCATCCTGGCGAGTGAAGCCATGACAGGTGTGGGTCTCCTCCCAGACAGGTCCCCTTGTTCCATGAACAGTTTGAGTCCGAAGCTGGCTAGCCCGGGGACCAGGTAGGTGGGTCAGATATCCACCCTGGCCCCCCTACCTTGCCTCCTTAATTCCAGCAACTGAGATTCAGCCTTTGGGGTAGGAGTGAAGCAAGGCCACTGGGCACTTGCTGGTCCTGCCATCTAAGGGTACAATAGGAACCTGGGTTTTGACCTCACCTTGCTGGCCCCTGGCAGCAAGTTGGCTTTGACATAGGTGTCCAGAGAGCCTGAGGCTGGTGGCTTGAGGCCCTGGGAACAGACAAGGGATTTAAGGAGCCCTGTGGCTTTGTCCCTTCTCAGGAACTCTGCCTCCATTCTCACCTTAGCACGATGGGCTGTGCAATGCAGGGCACTGTTGTCCGCATCAAAGACAAGTGTGAACTCCAGGGTGCCCAGGGCAGCTAAAGTGGCAGGTGGCAGGCAGAATCAGCACCTTCCTCTACCCACCTGTCCCCCATGGCACAGTGCCCCTTGCCTGGCCCCTCTGCCATCAGTGCTAGGGACACCCCAGACCCCGTTCTGGGGGGCGTCCTCGCATCCCCTCCACTACTCACTGCTATTGTCTGAGTCTCCCTCTTGGCTCTCGGTCAGGCTGCAGCTGGGGTGCAGAGCGGATGACAGGGGCCAGTGCAGCGCTCAAGTCTGGAGCGTGCAACTCTGGCCCGAAGAATGGATAGAAATGTGGAAAGTAGTCGGAAATAAGGTGGATGGGCCGGATGGGGCCAGGGCTCACGTCAATAGCCACGTGTCCCTGCGTGCTCACCGCTGCCGTGCAGGGGCTGGCCTGGTGTCTGCCATGAGGGCTCCGACATGGGGACAAGGGCTCAGAGAAATCCTTGTTGATGGGACCCAGGCACACACCTGGCCAACAAGGTAGGACAAAGAGACATCTCCAAGGCTGCCCAGGGGTCCTAGAGCAGATTGAGGGGTCATGAGGCTTAAAAGGGCAGGGCTGGGAGCCTCAAGCAGGAGTCCTTCCCCTGTTCTTACCTCTGAGAGCCTCACACAGCTTTGCTGCCACCAGTGCTGGCTGTGCCTTAGGATGACAGAGTCCAAGACTGAAGTGACCCATTTGAACAAGTGTGTGACCAACACCTCCCAAGGGCCCTTCTGTAGTGTTGGGGTGGATGGGTGGATGGATGGATGATGGGTGGATGGGTGATGGATGGGTGGATGATGGGTGGATGGATGGATGATGGATGATGGGTGGATGATGGGTGGGTGGATGGATGTTGGATGGATGGATGATGGGTGGATGATGGATGATGGGTGGATGATGGGTGGGTGGATGGATGATGGGTGGATGGGTGATGGATGGATGAGTGGATGGGTGGATGGATGGATGATGGGTGGGTGGATGATGGATGATGGGTGGATGATGGATGATGGGTGGATGATGGATGGATGGGTGAGTGAATGGGTGGATGGATGGATGGATGGATGATGGGTGGATGGATGATGGATGGATGGATGATGGATGGATGGATGATGGATGGATGGATGGGTGGGTGGATGGATGAATGGATGGGTGGATGATGGATGGATGGATGATGGGTGGATGGATGATGGATGGATGGATGGATGATGGGTGGATGGGTGGATGATGGATGGATGAGTGAATGGGTGGATGGATGGATGATGGATGGATGGATGGATAGATGGGTGGATGGGTGGATGATGGATGGATGGATGGGTGGATGATGGGTGGATGGGTGGATGGATGGATGATGGGTGGATGGGTGGATGATGGGTGGATGGATGGGTGGATGATGGGTGGATGGGTGGATGGATGGATGGATGGATGGGTGGATGATGGGTGGATGGATGGATGATGGGTGGATGGGTGATGGATGAATGGATGGATGGGTGGATAACTGAATGGGTGGATGGATAGATGAGTGGATGGGTAGATGAATGGGTGGATATATAGATAGATGGGTAGAAGGGTGGACACATGGATAGATGGGTAAATAGATGGGTGGATTGATGGGTGGATGAATGGGTGGATGGATACATAGCTAAAAAGATGGATTGATAGGTGGCTAGACAGATGATCGATTATAGATGGATGCTAGTTGAATAGATGATAGCTAGATGATTAATAGATGATTGGTAGATGGTAGATGATTGACAGATAGATGGTAGATTAGACAGCCTGAAGACTCGCACACAGCACAGGGAGCTGAGATGGGGCACCCAGCCCGCCTGCCTTTCTTCTGCAGACTCTGAATGTTCCGTGTCCCCCAGCGCACAGTTCCTCTTTGCTGATGTGATGACGGGGCAGCTTGGTGGCCTTATATTGCTAAAACAGAGTAACTGTTATTAACTGGTAGCTGAACCTCCTCATGCCCACGCTGGGAGCTCAGCAGACAGGTCCCACTGCCAGGAAGTCCTCTGCAGCTGCTGCCCTGCAGGGTCCAGGCTGACCAGGGCTGAGGTCAGAGCCACTCATGTAGGACCTGAAGCTGAGGCCGCCCTGGGCCATTCTGAGAGATGGGGATGAGGAGTAGGCACGTGGCTGTCCTGGTGGCCTGAC